TCTCCACTATCTTCCAAGACTCCAGTGTGGCAATAGAGTGTATGCTCGGTGGGCACGCGTGCACGCTGTACTTGTATAGTCTAGGTCCGACCCATGCGGCTTCGCCTCCCTCTGTGGTGCTCTGGACAAGGTCCAGGCTGAACGCCGTTGAAAAAGAAAAGTAAAACCCATCCGACTCGATATTTCCTCACAAGTCGATGGTTGTTCGAAATGTGTCGAGGAGTCCCGTCTTGTGAGGAGGGTTTTCCCGTCACTGCTTGTGGGTATGCAACAAGACACGCTCCGTCTTCAGTCCCCGGCAAGGCCGAGAAAGCGGAGGAGTTCTATGACGTTGAGAATGATAATGAATTAGCGGAGCGAAGCGGTATTTATTGTCCGTTTTTCGTTCCTTGTGCAGAGGTTGTTTTTGCAGAGGAGGTGGAGGCATCCTCATCTTCGTCCTCGGATGCTTGGTCGAGTGATGATGAATACGGCAGTTCGCCAGTGAAGACATACCCTGGGAAGAAAGTAGTGATCGATGTGGTCGTGGGGGTCTGTCAGATAGCATACTGGTAGGGTGCACGGACTGCAGGAGTGGAAAGCAACAAGTTGATGGGCACGTCGAAGAGAGTCGGAGGAGATAGAGCATTCGTATGGCGGACTAAGGTGGGGATGATGTTGTTGTAGTTGATGGGACAAGGGGTGGTAGGTGATGAACAGGAGGCAGGCAGCCAGACATGAAGTCGGTGGAGGGGCGAACATGAATGTAGGTCAGTGCGTTAGGAGGTTGGGTTTTCTATGTGGTGATCCTGGTTCGAAACTATGCGATGGTATTTTTGTGGACAGGTTCTGAGGATGGATGCTGACGGACTGGAGCAAGTTACACAAATTAACAATGTAGTTTGGGCTTGTCAATTCGATCATCTATTCTGCCTCCACTATGTGTGGTTTCTATCCTTGGTCCTTTTGGAGCGATATCGTATTCGTTGGGATGATAGTCCATGTATCCTCCTTAGATTTTACACAGGGGTGAAGGCGTTTGCCCGACGGCTTGCATGATGCACGAGGGAGACAACAAGATGCTCCTCCTTGATCATTGTGAGCACTCGTGATAGAGGGCCAGTGGCGTCTAGGGTGTTCTGTTCTCAGCTGATCCGACTGATGCTGATAAGGTCCTTTGTATGGACTTGAACGTGGGGAAAGTGGTAAGGTGGCTCCTGCCGAGTGATGGAGTTATGATTGTGGCAGGTGCAAGAATGGAATGCAGATAGTATGAGGGTCAACAACTTAGTGCCGACCTCGAAGACGGCCCAAAGTGATACTTAGGGGAAAAGGAGGAATGTAAAATTGTGCTGTTGTAAGGTACCGGTGAGCAGTGCTTTATGGCGATGAATGACAAGGCTGTGTTCGTGATGGACCCTCGACTCGATTCGAGGAAGACTAATAGAGTGATGATGAAGTCGCGTATTCGTACCATAATTTGCCCAACTCGCAGGCACAGACGTACGCGTATGCCAGTAACGTGAAATTGAGTGCTGCTGCGACTGACGGTGGAGGGAGATTTGTACGAGTCGGTGAATCTTCTTCTTATCGATAAGTGGTGTGACAGGCCCTCGGCAATCGTGTGGGTGAATACCGCTTATTCGACGGGCAGACTAATAAGGAGGGCCAAATCAAGCGGTGCAAGACCCTCCTCAAGGGCACGGGGGATCCTATCATCAAAGTTGACGTCACGTGAGTGTGAGGGGGAAGGCTTTTTTCGGTCAAGTAATCTTACGTGAAGTGGCGTAATACTCGGTGAAAAATGCGATATTCGCGGTGATATGCAGTAGTCGTGGAATGTATTTTTTCACTAGTGTTTTTCATATCACTAGGGTGGTGAAACTTCGATGTATGCCTCTAGATATGATCATCTGTACCTCTGATCATGCTTGTTCTCGATTCTTATTATTCCTGTGTGGGAAAGAATGCACATGTTTAACTACGTGCGTTGATGACAGGATTCTGGTGAATTATTGTCGGATTTTATACACGTCCATACGAATACTTTTATAATTTATGAGGAAACTCCTGAGAATCGCAGACTGAGGAAAGTGAAAATTTCCACATTGCGTTATACTCGACTGATTGTTGGATTTTCTCAAGGGAGGTTTCCGTAGGTTCGACGGTCGATATTTGTTGGGAACTACGGCGAAGTATTTGGTGTTGATCGACACTCAATTGCCGGGTGGTGTCACTGGCTTCGACAAGTCCATGGGCCAGAACGCTCCTGATTTGATATCAATCAGCATAACACAGGAAGATTTCGTGAAGTAATAGGCGGAGCGAAGCAATTCTTGAGTGACATTTTCTCGTGTTAGGTATGGTCTGAAGGATATCAACTTCACCCCAGCGCGGTTCGACTAGCGGAGTCGAGGAAACCATCGTGACTACTACTGGCAGTTTGATGGTCAGTTGGGATATCAAGGTAGAGGAGTTTCATAGCGCGCGAAATTGTGATGGTCTTTGCTTTTTTAAGATGTACTTAGGATGTACTCGTAAATTAGGATGTACTGCGAGGGAGAATCCACGAGTACTCAGTGAAGCCGATGGGCGATTACATCGTCGCAACTGGTTCCGCACCGGGAGTCTCTGAGAGCAGTACGTCAGGAAATGCTGTGGTCGCCATGTGAGTTACATCACCCACTTAATTATCTGGAGTATCTTTGGGAACACACAATGTAAGTTTAAGACACTCTCTGGAGTTGACAAAGCAAGATCTGTTTAAGATCTTGCGTTCTGTCATGTGTTGCGAAGTAACCCTCATTTGATTATATCAGAATCATGCGAGGGCTCTCGTGAACGTGTTCATGAACGATTCTGAAATAACTCCAATGCTTTACTTACCCTTACCCCATGTTCATTGAATCCATTCTGGAACTCAGAACCGATTCTAGCGTCATATTATACATGTCAGAAGCGATTCTGAGTTTCGAAATCGGTTTATTGCACGACTCCTTAGACTAAACCACGCTGATGGTTCCTCTCATAAAGCCATTCCCATTGAGGTAAGAGGAGAACTCCCTTTGAGATGAAATTTTGTGCAGTATGTTGTCATATTTGTATTATCATTGTCGAATCGACAATTCTGATTGTAGCAATAAAGATTGACTCTCCAACTCAAACCAGCCTTACGACACAGTATCGTGGTCGCCGACCACTGGTCGATCTTGGTGTTGGGCACCTGCTTTGCCCAAAGCTTCAACATATGCCATGATGGCATCAGTGCGCGCCAGGGGTGAGGGCCCCTGAAAGAGCGCGCCCAAACCTTTCACGCAATCGCGCAGGTGCGACCTGCCTATTGGATAGGGCTGCAAATGAAAAAGCTGAATTTAAATGAGCCGTGGAAATCGGCTGATTATCCGTGTACACATAGATCTCTACGCTAATGGGTGCCCTTCAAGTATGGTTGAATTTGAAATCCTGTGACCAGAGATTGCTCTTGAAATGTTCGAATCCACATGTTGATGCGTGCGTATGGCGCGCACAAAAGTATCGTCGGAGCAGTTTTACGGGAGGTAGGAGATTGATTCGATGAATCGGGTTCTGAGATCCTCGCCTATTAGTGGTACAGTAATGCATGGGCATGACGTGGTCCATGGTATATGCGAACTCACGCTCCGGTGTAATGAATTTCATATTTTTGTATTCAACTGGTGTCTTTGGTTGCACATGCTCCATTTTCCTAGAGCATCTATCTCATGATGGAGACTCCAACGCTCCACCGTGGAATGTTGTGGATGGCCTGCGCTCGATACATGGCACAAGTCACTTGAGTCAAGTGCTATAACCCTATTGGTGGTGTTCAGTTCCTACTGACTGCGTTTGCAATGTGGAAGATGATGTATGAGAAGGTGGTAATATATGGGCAGTGATATACGGACGATAATATGCTATACAAAGACTCTACATCGACATAGTGTGATACATCGCTACTGAACATTCTCGAGAAGTTTGAGTTATACAATTCCCGTAACGGATCCCACACTTGTGCGGTTAAATTGAACCTCATATTGCGGTTTTCGTTCGAGCCGAAGGCTCGCGGAAACCGCCTCCTTTTCCCCTTCAATAAGATACCCTTTGGGGGATAGATCCGCGATTCGCGGACCGCGAACATTCGTCACTGGAAAAATTCCTGCCACGTGCTAGCTAACGAGCTTCTCTAAAGAGGTTTAAAATAGTGTATCTGATGGGGCATACCGTATGTGAATTGATCACTAATGAGCAAGTTGCTCAGAGCAACTGCAGTTTCCAGCAGTTTCCCGACTGAGGCCGATTCTCTTATTTTTCTGGCAGCAGGTCTACTTGACTACCCATTTGCCAGACGGGAAAATCCGAATTCGATTCCACACTCTGAACATACTCAGAAGCGATTCCAGAATCGCTTAGGAAATCATTCCCACTATCGGCTCTCTCGTAACTCTCTCTCAGAGATAAGTCTCCGCGCAGTCAGCTCTGGGATCGATTACAATAGGTTTATCGAATACCCGGTGTGTACTGATCAGACTACTGGGGTCGTTCAAAAAACCGAGTTTGGAACTCAGAGTCGATTCTAGAAACGCTTCTTAGACGTATGCTAGAATCGATTTTGAATTGTTTCAATGAACGTTGGGATTATGGGTTGGGGTCGAAACTTGCACGCACGATCCTTGTGCATGCGTGCAAGCTTCGCTCAACATCATCCTTACTGATGACCTGGTTGATGTCTGTATTGTTGAGCAATAGAGTTGTGGTATTTCTACAGTTCCTCAAGTGTACTCTCTGTTCTTATAGTATCCTACTCTACAATTGATGATGTTCTCAATAGTTAAAAACCTCTTCGGTCGTCCTACTGCGAGTAAAGTTGAGGACGAGTCCTCCGATGACGACTCGGCCGGTGGCCATAGTATCGGGCTGCCCTCATTTTCGTATTTTCATGACAGGTCTTGAGAATCCCTCCAACGGCCAGGCCGTCACTGAGTGTGCCCTCGACTTGCTCAAGGGGGATTTCTTCGTTTTAGATGGTGGGGAGTGGACGAGTCTTGCCGATGGGGTGAGGCCTTGTATTGGCGTTATCAACACTGTAGGGTCCTTAGTTATGCAGCGTAACCTTCGATGAGGCCTTGAGGAAAATGTATGTCACGCAAGAGGAGGAAGGAGTGGAAGAAGTCTTCAATGTAGATGTTTGTGGTGATCAACATTGAAGTATGTGCAACGATCTTAGGCACAGCAGATGGTCAGCGTACAGCATTACGACGATCCCGACGATGGCTACCCGTGCGTGCAGTGGATAGTAACGTCACCAATTAGGCGAGGACATTAGCATTGTTACTATGGCAGGTGGTGACAAAGAGCGACAACATGAGCGAATGGGGCCTCAAATTCCGAAATGAAGAGGCAGTGAACGAGTTCGTGAGGTAGGAAGCCCTCGGGGCTCAATCGACTGTTTGTGGTTGACTAACAGTACGCGCCATCTAGAGACCGACAATACGTGTGCAGAGGTAACTTTTCCTACAGAGGGATTTTCAAGCTAAAATTTCGAATATAAGCCCCTCTTATATAGTTATATTGCATG